CTCTTCTGTCTTTGCAATGACCGTTTGCACTCTTCCTGGATGATACCCTTGACATCCTCCCACAACTCATCTGGTCTTCGCTCATTAGTGTTCAAGGCTTCAAACCTGTTCCTGAGATGGTTCTGAAATTCAGGTGGGAAGACCCTTTATGAGATGGATTGATTCGGTGACTGGGGTATTCGGGATGGGTGTGTCAGAGGCAGACACAGGATAGAGCAGGGTTTAGGGCTGTTGTGCATAGGGTAGCTATGAGTCGCAAACAACTCGACGGCACATAAGAACAATAACAACAGACTCAAAGTCATATTTTGGTTGCCTTGGATTTGGTTTAATTTTCCTCAACTTCAGCTTGAACTTGCATATGAGTAGTTGGTGGTCTGTTCCACAATCAGCTCCTGGCCTATTAATTTTAATGAAAATTTACAGAGATTTTTTATTTCCATTCATTCATTGTTGTACTTTTCTCTCTGCCTGCCCCTCCAATCCAGTTCATTCTTCTCTTTGAAAAGTAAAAGAAAAATTCTTTCATTGGTATACAAGCCCTCCCCCCAAGTCCACTCCACTATGCAGCCTTCGTTCTGGACTCATGTCCTGACAATAATACCTAATCATATATGTCTTTTAAATAGTTCCCTCCCTCATCTGTTTCAATGTAGTATACATAATTTAACCTTCTATTTTTACTGTAATGGTCTTGTGCAGTATTTGTCCTTATAAGTCCAAGTTGGTTCAGTCAGCACCATGCTCTCTAGCCTCTCCGATGCTATATGGTGTTTTTCAAAATCCTTACTCCTGAGAGCTGCATAATATTCCGTCGTGGGAATGTACTACAATTTTCCAGTCCATTCTCTTGTTGATGGACATTTGGGCTCTTTCCATGTCTTTGGTATTGTGAACAACACCATAAACCATAGCCATAATGGGAAGACAAAATTTACCAAGTGATTGATAGTCATGGGGAGAATGGCTGAGACTGTGCATTCAGTTGGTGCTATGAGAATACTTTGGTGATCCTGATGACTAGGCACTAGGTTAGTGGTTCAAACCCACCCAGAGGTGTCTGGGAAGAAAGAACGAAAGAATGGTAATCTGCTCAACTCAGTGTCTACCTCAAGGTAACGTTGTGACTGTAGTTGCTTGGGTTTGTTTTTTCTCCCCTCTTTCCAAATGAACAAGAGCCATGTCTGCAAGCGTATGGCCCCAAGGCAATGATAATGATGGAAGAATTTGGGCCCTCTCCAAATACCCATTAATACCCATTCTATTCAGACTCATAGCAACCCTATACACAGTAAAACTGCCCTGTAAGATCCCCAGGCTTCTGTCATTACTGCCGGTGTGAATGTCAGTTGTTGGGTAACGCCTTCTGGTATCTCTTGCATCCCTTTCAGCTCACAGTGACCCTCCTTTCAGTTTCCAAGGTTGTAAATCTTTACTGGAGGAGATCGCATCTTTCCCCCTCAAAACAGCTGGTGCAGGGAGCTCTGGTGGCCTAGTGGCAAGAAGCTGCCCTGTTATCCCAGAGGTACGCAGTTCAAATCCACCAGATGCTCTGCTGGAGGAGGAGGGGCAAACTCCTCTTGTACCATTCAGATCTGATTTGATGGTACACACACACAAAAATAAAAATAAATAAAATTTTTAAAAACCCAGCTGGTGCATTTGAACCACCAGCCTTTCCTCTAGCATAGCATCTCCACATGAGCCTCATCGCCAGAAGAACAAACAAGTGTGTTTTGGAGGAAGTGTTCCCATGAGGCCCCTTGGAAATGGATGGGGAGATTTTGTCTCACAAACGTCGGGTGTGTCAGCAGGAAGGTCCTTGGAAAGAGACATCATGCTGGGAAAGGTGGCAGGGTCAGAGAAAGAGAGGAAAGCCCTCAATAGGATAGACTAGCACAGAGACTGTGACCATGGGTCTTGGAATGCCACACATCATGAGGATGGTGTAAGACAGAGCAAGGCTCAGATCTGCTGTCCATAAGGTCACTATGAGTTCCAGTCAACCCAGCACATCACGACCCCACCACCAGGGCTCTGCTTGAGTATAGTCTTCAGCGCCTCATTTATAATTAAGAACAAGAAGAGAAAACAAAATTCCAGCGGCCAAGGACTTTGACCCTCGTATTCCCTGCTGAACCCTCAGCTTCGAAAACCAAGCCTGAGGATGGACTCTGTGGTCTGTGGGGTGTTGTGCTGTTAACCAGCAACTATCCCTACACACTCACTGAGTAACTGAACGCACATTAGGATTTCAAGTAAACCACTTCCCTGGTGACAAGTGTACTGGTCTCTGGTCTCTCTCAGTCCAGTGGTGATGGGTGAGGCCTGGGTCCCCTGGTTTAGCACCAACACTGATAGTCCATTGGCCAAGTCCATTTGTCCATTGAAAGAACAAAGCTTTCCAGCTACGTCCATTACAGGAGCCTAGCCCTCTGTCATCCAACCTTACAGGGTCCTTTCTGTCAATCCTAAGCGTGATGAATTGAATGTAGTCCCCACCTCTAACCCTGTCTCTGTGACTATAATCGTCTTTGGAAATCAGGTCTTGTTTCTGTGAATGCCACCTTGCAGGAGGGTGTGCCCTGAGTCTAATCTCGTCTGAGCTATAAAAAGAGCAGATTACCTTCTTAGGGAAGCTTCCTTCAATGCCTTTTCCCTTGGAAGAAGGGGATTGGGTGAGGTGCACCTTGCAGAAGGTAATCTCCTTTAAGTCAAGTCATCACCCTGTAGATGTCACACCCGTTGTCCACAAGTCCATTCTGACGCACAGCCGGCCTCTAGGACAGAGGGCTCTGCTTCAAGAGGCTCCCAAGGCTGGACTCTTTATCACGACAACAGGATTAGCACAGCAGAGACTGGGAATGGGACGGAGTGACGTTCTCTCTGTTGTAAGTGGGAGCTGGCTAGATGGCACCCAGCGTGGGAGGCCACTGCCACATCCTTCTCTGGTGGCGTGTCTGCGATTCCACCATCCACCTTTTGGTTTGCAGTCAAGCACTTAACCCCTGCACTGCCTTTTGCAGATGTTAACTGTGTCTAAAAAGCCACACTCACTGCAATGTCCAGATGAGTCCTTGAGCAGACACTGAGCACTGAAGCCCACCAAGTGGATGAACCTTTGACGCAGTCCCTCAGCTTCTCCACATCTCATGTCACCTCTAGTGAAGCCAAACGAGACCTCCTCTACGTAGTACTGAAATGCAGCTCACATTGAATTCCAGCATCCCCCACCCTGTCCGACTTCCGGACGTCTCGCTCATCTGTATCATTATACACCACGTTCAGTAACTGAGTTCTGGTGGCTTAGTGGTAAGGAGTTGTTCTGCCAACCTGAAGGCACACAGTTCAAATCCACCAGCTGCTCTGTGGGGGAAAAGTGGACAATCTCCTACTATGTGATTTACTGCTCTTTTTTTCTTTTAATATATTATTTTTTAACTTTTTTATTCATTTCAATGAACATTTACAGAGCTTTTGGGTTTCCATTAATTCATTGCTGCACCCTTTCTCCCCGACCCCCCCCCCAGTTCGCTCTTCTCTTCGAAAAACAAAAGAACTTCCTTTCTCCCCGACCCCCCCCCCCAGTTCGCTCTTCTCTTCGAAAAACAAAAGAACTTCTTCATTGGTATACAATATTCCCGCACTCCCCCACCCCCACCCCAAGTATACTGCACTCTGCAACCCTCATTCTGAACTCTTATGATAATCATAATGCCCTAAAATATATCGCTTTTAAACTATTCTCTCCCTCATCGGCTTCAAAGCAGTATACATAATTTATCCAGTTTTTCTCAGTCTTACCCCAACCCTGATGTCAGTCTCATGCTACAACAGTGGCACCATATAGTATTTGTCCTTTTGTGACTGAGCTATTTCACTCGGCATAATGTCCTCCAGGCTCACCCATTTGGAATAATATTGCATGAGTTCCTTGTTTTTCAATGCAGCATAGTATTCCATTGTGTGAATATATCATAGCTTCTCTATCCATTCGTTTGTTGATGGGCTCTTAGGTTGTTTCCAGCTCTTTGCTATTGTGAACAAAGCTGCGATAAACATGGGTGTGCATATATCTGCTTGGATGTCAGTTATGGTCTCTTTGGGATATATTCCCAGTAGTGGAATTGCTGGGTTAAATGGTATCTCTATTTGCAACTTTTTGAGAAAGTACCACACCACCTTCTACAGTGGTTGCACCATTTTACACTTCCACCAACTTTACAGCCTCTTAAAACCCACTGGAAGGTCAGCTGTGAGTCATTTCCAACTCGGGTGCTGTTTCCCAGGGCCCTTAGCTGGCCCTGCGCACCTTGGGAACCAAAGAGTGACCAGCTGGCCTTCTCTGTTTTCACTGCTCTGTGTGGCCTCCAGTCCAGCCTACCCGGGGGCTGTGGGACCCCCAGGGCCGCCAAACAGATTAGCAATGTTTGGTCTCTGTCCTCTGACCAATTCCCCTTTCGTTTCTAGACTGGCCTTATTGTCGCCTGCTACCACGGCTTCGTGGACACCGTGGTGGTCCTAGCAGAATGCCCCCACGTGGACGTCAACTGGCAGGACCACGAGGGGAACACCGCCCTCATCATAGCCGCTCAGGCAGGTAAGACCCGGCCCCAGCCCGAGCCTCTGAGGGTGCGGGTGCCATGCAGCGAGGGGGCTTGTCCCCACCTTCGCTCATGAGATTGACGCAGGAAGGGGCAGAGTTGACAGCTCCACACATGGATGGCCGTGGCTGTTGGGGTGAGGACGCATTCTCTTTGTGTATTTGGGGACAGTGGAAGGTTAACCCACTTGTGCAGAGTTCCACACTGGGCAGATCAGACTTCGGCATCATCTTCTAGAAAGAAGCTAAACCCAACACTCAGCCTTGTACCATGGCTCGCACATTACAAACCCCACCAGCCTTTCAACAGTGAGATGCTGCTAAACTCACTGGTGACACGGATGTCACCACAAGATCCCCCAGAGCTAATATATGAAAGCACACATGCCCAAAGGTGATGGCAAACATTCGACCATGTGCAAAATGAGGGAGACCAAAGGCCCCACACTGCCCTCAGCTCTGACCCCGAGGGCAAGTTCAGAGAAACCTTGAAGTGGACCCACCCACCACAAACTCCACCCCCAGTTTGATAACTCAGAAGAAGGATGCCTCGAACTCTCCGGAGAAGCTTCTTCCCTAGAGGCTGCTTTGCTCATGGTTATGGCACATTGTAGAGATCCAGCAGAGAGGAGGACAGCCCTCAGGGACGTGCGTGGACACAGCAGCTGCAGCAGGGAGCTGAGACTTGGCACTGACCGGAGCTTGATGCAGGATTGGGAAGGGGTTTGCCCTGTTGTACATAGAGACACTATGAGTCAAAACAGACTTAACAGCACATAGTAACAGTGGTGTACTTCAGGAAATTCTATTAGGAGCCGTTGAGTTGGGTAGGACTCCTAGCAATTCTATAAACAACAGACCTGTACCCTGTCCTGGCTTGCACCATCCTCAACACTCAACTCCGAACCCATTGCTACAGTCACTGTGTCAATACATCTGGTTGAGGGTGGTCCTCTCCTTCCCTGACGCTGCACCTTTGCAAGCATGGTATATTTACCAAGGAGTAGCCTCTCCTGACAACATGGGAAGGGAGCTCTGGTGGCCTTGTGGCAAGAAGCTGCGCTGCAATCCCAACGGTGCTTGGTTAGATTACACCAGCTGATCCATAGGCAAAGGATGGGCAATCTCCTCCCGTGCTGTTAACTGGCTCTGAAAACCCACTGGAGGGTCAGCTATGGACTGGCTCCAACTCAATGGTATCCATCAGCACAACCACATGGAAACGATACAGATTAACATCAGCCAATGGGGAGAATGCACAGGGCAGAGCTGAGGGAGCCCAGCAGAGCCCCCATAGATCTAGGACCCCTCTCCTTGCTGCTAGTCATGTGTGATGATACACATGGTGTAAGCTCACCAGTGCTACAGTGTCCAGAGTCAGGTCTCTGAGAGGCACAAACAAGCTTGCAACCTAAGCCGCTAACCTCAAGGTTGGCAGTTCAAACCCCTCTAGCACATCCAAAGAAGAAAGGCCTGTTGTCTGCTTCTGGTGACAGCCAAGAAGAGGCTGGGGAGCAGTCCACTATGCAGTGCCTGAGGTCACCTTGCACAGGAACTCACGTTCTTCCCGGAGGTGGGCATGATACCTGCATGCTCACGTACACTGGGCATGTTATCTGGAAGGACCAGTCCCTGGAGGAGGCCATCATGGTTGGTCACGTTGGAGGGTCAGAAAAGGAAGGCAAGCCCCTCAGTAGGAGGGATTGACGTGGTGTTGCAACAATAGGCTCTGCGTTAGCAAAGATTGCGAGGGTGCAGCGGAACAGGGTGCTTCCTTCTGTCTCACAGGAAGTGAGTCAGGACAGATTGACGGGACCTGACAACAGTGGGAGTGTAACCAGCTGCTCCTCAGAGGATGGGGGCTCTCACTTGCTTTGGGTATATTCTCAGGAAGAGCCAGTCCTTGGAGAGAGACATCGTGCTGGGAAAGGCGATGGGTCAGAGAAAGAGGAAGACCTTCAACAAGATGGATTGACACGTGACTGTCACAAAGAGCAAGGGCCATGAGGATGGCAAGGATAGGTCAAGGTCCACATCCACTGTTCACAGCTTCGCCATGAATCACAGTATCAATAAAGTAGGCATGATTAAGTAATGGATTGCCGGGAGCTCTGGTAGCCTAGTGGCAAGAAGCTACACTACAGTCCCAGAGGTATGCAGTTTGAATCCACCAGATGCTTTGCTGGAGAAGAAGGGGCAGTCTCCTGTTCCAGTCAGATCTGATTTGACGGTACACACACACACACACACACACACACACACACACAATTTTTTAAAAAGTGATGGATTGCCTATGTGATTCATCTCAGTCTTCAGGCCAGGACTCAGAGCTCCAGCTCTAGGCCACATGGTTGGACATTGTGGTGTGACCAGCCCCCAGCCCCAGTGTGGCCAGCCCCCACAGTAAAGCACAGGTTGCTATCTGGCTAACCCAAGGCCCCAAGGCAAGCAAGTAGCTTGGAGAAAAGGTCAGACACCTTTCTGGACAAAGTTGAGTCCTTCGCTTCACAACAACCTTGTAGAGTTAGAAAATCCAACAGCTGCTCATTGGAGGAGCTCTGGCTTCACAGTCCATTGGGAATTGCGCTAGTAACCCAAAGATTGAGATTGTTCACAGCTTTAGTTTGTTTGGCTCCACGGTCAACACGCTTGGCACCAGCAGCCAGGAAATCAAAAAACATATTGCGATGGGAAAGTCTGCTGTTAGGGACCTCTCTAAAGTACTCAAGAGCAACGGTGTCTCTCTGGAGACTAAGGTGCGCCTGAAACAGGCCATGGTCCTTGCAATCACTTGTTGTGCATCAGAGAGTTGGACAATGACTAGGGAGGATAGAAGGAGAATTGATGCCTTTGAGCTGTGGTGCTGGAGAGAGTATTGAATGTACCCTGGACTGCCAAGAAAACAAACAGATTCATCCTGGAGAGGGTTAAGCCAGGCTGCTCCTTGGAGGCAAGGATTCTGGGGCTTCGTCTGACATACTTTGGACATGTTGTAAGGAGGGAGAAGTCCTTGGAGAGGACATCATGCTTGGGAGGGTGGAGGGACAGCGCAGGAGGGGAAGACCCTCTATGAGGTGGATTGATTCCGTGACTGGAGTAATCGTGATGGGTGTGTCAGAGGCAGTGAGATTGGCACAGGATAGAGCAGGGTTTAGGGCTGTTGTACATAGTGTCACTGTGAGTAGAAAGCAACTCAATGGCACATAACAACAACAACAACCACCACCCAAAGACAACACTTCTTTGTTGGTTTGAATCCACCAGCAGCTCTACAGGGAACAGACGGGCAGTTTCCTCCCATGTGATTTACAGCCTTGAAAACCCGCTGGAGGGTCAGCTATGAGTCGGTTCTGGCACTGAGTTCGTGTTCTCTGGGAGCGCTTGGCTTCACTGTAACAAGGTGGGACTAGACTGAGGCGGGGGTCTTATAACATTCACCCACATATTGTCCTTCTTGAGAGGCCAGTACCTGCACCGTAACTGCCAAGTGCACAATGGCCTCTTCATTTAGAACTGACAACGTGCTTCTACAAGCTGGGATAGTCAGGCTTGTCTCTTCAGAATCACCCTTCGCTTGTCACCAAGGAATGAACTAGCCTCATAAGTGATCAGTTTCAAGACACTGAGCTTCTAAAGATTCCACTTCTCCAGCCAGCTTCTCAGTTGGAAGCAAAATAGGACTTTGGGCTATGTTGTAGGGGTGTAGGGAGCTGGTGGCTTCGTGGTAAGGAGCTGCACTGCCAACTAACGTGCAGGCAAGTGGTTGGAATCCACTAGCTGCTCGGTAGGAGAAAGATAGGTAATCTCTTCCCATGTGATTTCATGCCTCTACAAACCTGCTGGAGGGTCAGCTATGAGTCAGTTTTGACCTGATGGCAAACAACTGTAACAACTTAATACGGACGTGTTAGGAATCTGGTGAATCAGGCCAGGAAGCCAGGGAGACGGTCAAAGCCCACCTCATGGGTCCTGGTGAGGAAGTCCCACCCCTGAGAGCCTTCCAGCCCTTTCTCATGACACAGCCTCTGCCTTGGAGATGGTGTGGGTGAGGTGTATTTGATGTGTGTGAGAACAAGCCAGTATTCAGAAGGGTCAGCTGTGAGGTAACTTAGGCACCCAGACTTTCATTATTGAGCACAGACAGTAACTCATGGGGTTTGGGAAGGCATCTGGTGCTGTGGCCCCAGCCTTCACAGCTTCTGTTCTCCAGGGGGATGCTTTGCCTCCATGTAGGGTGCTCTGAAGCCTAGGCTGCGGCTTCTAGAAAGGGCTACTTTATACAATCAGCTTATTGAGGGGATCTCTTCAAAGTCCCAAAGACCAGTGATGTCATTTTAAAGACTGTGCCTGGTCCAAACCACGGTCTTTCTAATCACCTGATACACATCTGAGAGCTGGACAATGAATAAGGACAGGAGAATTAGTGTCTTTGAATTATGGTGTTAGAGAACAGTTCTGACTATATTATCGCCTACCAAAAGAACAGAGAATGTTCTGGAGAAGGTGCTCCTTGGAGGAAAAGATGATGAAGCTTCATCTCATGTATTTTGGGCAAGTTGTTAGGAGAGGCTATTCCTTGGAAAGTGTAAAAAGAGCAAGTACTGTGTGAGGATGGTCATATTTGACCTTTACCAACTTCATAAAGGGGAACTGTCCCCATCAATAGCATCAGTAACACAAGACCAATTCACATGCGATCAGACGTGTCTCCTGTGCTGCTTTATCTCTTTCTCCTCATCTCAACACCAATTTTACTGATTTAAAGGGTCTAAAATCCGATGCAGTAGCTCAGAGATCACATAGAACCATGCTGGTTTTAACTAAAAGGTTATAATCCAGGTTAGGAGCAGAATACAGTCAGGACAGCTTCAGAAATGTGCTCAGTCCTGACAGTTATGCTGCACACCTCCACCTCACCCTCACCCCTAGCTGTCCGACAAACTTGGGCAAAGGTTCTTAGCTCTGGGTGCAATGACGTAGCAGTCCCATCTCATGTT